GTTGGGGGAGCAATTCTATGACTTTTATTATGAGGTTGAAAAAATTATGACGGCTGGAGGAGAGAAAAATCAGGCTCATGTCACTGTGGATAGCAGTGCACCACCTTCTTTCCTAAAGAAAGCCAGGATAAATTCATATCCTGCTTCTTCTGATGGGCACGGGAAAACTAGTGCATCTATGATTGGGAATTTCTCCTCTCAAAACTATGATAAGGGGTCACAAAGACTATCTGATGTGATTGAAAGTGAGGAGGAGGGGGAAAGTGATGAGGGGAATCATACTGAGCTCTTGCTCGAATCTATGGCCAGAGAATATGCAGCTGATAAAATGTCTTATCCTGAATCACCAGCAAAAAAATCTGACGAGATATTAGGTGATGATATGGAAAGGTCTCCTAATGTCGTTGGCAACATGAAAAAAATATTATTTGGTGTTGGCGTGTGGCCATCTCTGCCCCATATTGTACCCCTTGAGGAAGGGTCTACAGATGGGGGGGGGGACAACCACAGTGTTTACACTGTTGAATTGCCATCTGGGTCTCCAATGCATGAAACTATGGCTCCTGAAGAGCGGGCTTCACGCAGGCAGTTTCAGAAACTGGAACGTGTGGTGGAGACGGCTACCAACCGGCTGAAGAAGCGAGATGCTGAAGATAAAAAAATATCCCACTTGAATAATAAATTTTCTGTGTTGGATGATAGTGTTATTATTGCTCGGGTTGCCTTGATGGGGGTGCAAATACATGATGATAACTTTGATACGATAGATATTCTGCGTGAATTAGAAATATCTAGGAATCTGTTAAATGATAAGAGGGTTGAATCTAACCCTCCCCCTATCACTATCAATGATGGTCTGGGTAATGATGTCCCCTTACTGTTAACTTGGGATAATAAAAGTATAGATGATGAGGAACCTTATATCCTTGTACAGTCTAGACAAAAAAGAAAAAAAGCTCAACATAGGAAAAAAGTGAAGGTCCTGCATCCTAATGATATGGACAGACCTGTAACTAGGAGTCAGAAGAAAAATGGAGATGGTAAGGCTGCCCTGAATCCTGGCAGACCTACTAAGGAGAGGGGGAAACCTGCAAGATATAAATTATAGGACTTTTTTGGAACTGTAGGGGAGCAGGTAAGAAAGGCATATCTACCTACCTCACTGATATTATTAATGCCAATGATGTGGATTTTATTGGTCTTCAAGAGACTAGGAAAAAAAAATCTTATGATCCTTCCTTTTTTAGGAAGTTGGACCCTGGGCAAAAATTTAAATGGGAGTGGATTCCTTCCAGGGGAAAATCTGGAGGTATTTTAGGTGGTGTCAATAAAGACAAATTCGACCTCATCAATGTTAGATATGGTAAATATGTCCTTCAAATGGACCTTTTTGATAAAGATAAGAAATGCAATTGGGCCTTGCTGGTGGTATATGGAGCAGCTCATGATGATAGTAAACCAGAATTTATTGCTGAGCTATCCAAATATGTGCAGTAGTACCCACATCCCTTATTTGGTGGGAGGAGACTTCAATATCCTTAGACACAGTGGGGAGAAGAACAAAAAAACTCTCATGTCCCATTTTCCTGATGTGTTCAATTCAGTCATCCACCCGATGGGGCTTAGAGAGATTTGCATGTCAGGAGGGTGTTATACTTGGTCCAATAAACAGGAAAATCCTACCCTAGAGAAGCTGGATAGGGTGTTAATGTCCTCTGAATAGGAGGACTTGTATCCTCTTGTTTCAGTTAGTAAGCTGGTGAGGGAATTATCAGACCATAACCCTTTGCTGTTGAATGGGGGTCTGGCCTCTTCTAGAGCACCAGGTAATAGGTGCTTTAGATTCGATAATAATTGGCTTAATAATCAAGATTTTTTGCCTTTGGTTGCTGACATTTGGTCGAAACCTGTGTATACTGATGATCCTATTGACACACTAAATATAAAACTGAAAGAGTCAAGAAATTCTTTAAGGGGCGGGGCTCCAATATTTTTGGACACAACAAAATCATAAGAAACATTATTAAGCTCGAACTGCAGGAATTGGAAGGGCTTGAGGAGACTGTTGGGTTATGTGGGCAAGCCTATACCAGAAAACTGAAAATTTTGCTAGAACTAAACAACATGTATGTGGAGGAAGAGCTGTATTGGCATCAATTCTCTACTCAGAGATGGCTCTTGAAAGGAGATAACAATACTGGCTTTTTCCATAAAGTAGCAAATGGTCGCCGGAGAAAACATTCCATGATCTCGCTTGAATGTGGTGTGGTCACTATTGAAGGGACTAAGAACCTCCTGGCTCATGCTACTGAGTACTATAGGAACCTCTTCGGACCAGCCCCTGGCAATCTTTGCCGTATAGATGAAAACCTTTGGTCTCATGAGGAGAAAATCTCTTCCGAAGACAATGATGACCTGACTAGACCTTTTTCTATTGATGAAATTAAAAAGGCCCTGTTCGATAAATCTAACAGGGCACCTGGGCCTGATAATATTCCGGTTGAATTTTATCAACATTGCTGGGAGGTCGTAGCTCCGGAATTATTTGCTCTGTTTGAATGGTTCTATAGGGGAAACTGGATGTGCAAAGTTGAACTATGGCATTATTACCTTATTGCCCAAGTCAACTGATGCTAGTAGAATACAACAATACAGACCAATCTGTTTATTGCGTTGTCCGTACAAACTTATTACTAAGGTCATGGACCTTAGAGTTGGTAAATCTGTGCATAAACTGTTCAGTATACAGCAAAATGCCTTTATCAAAGGGAGGCATATAGTAGATGGCATTTTATCCCTTCATGAGATTATACACTACACCCATGTCAAAAAACAAAAAGGGGTGGTTCTCAAGCTTGATTTTGAGAAAGCTTATGACAAAGTCAATTGGGACTTTTTGCTAGAATGCCATGTTAAACGTGGTTTTAATCAAAGATGGTGCAGATGGGTAAATCAGATCCCTAGGAATGGGATGGTTAGTGTTAAGATCAATGATGAGCTAGGACCGTATATATAGAGTGCTAAAGGAGTCAGGCAAGGTGAACCGCACTCTCCGTTCCTTTTTAACCTTGCGGCAGAATGCCTAACTAAGATGATGACCTCGGCCCAGAAAAATGGCCTTGTCAAAGGGCTGGCTTCGGATCTTATAGAAGATGGTGTGGGGATTTTGCAATATGCAGATGATATTGTCATCTATTTCGAGCATGATAGATAAAGCTATTAATGTCAAACTATTGCTTTACTTGTTCGAACTCATGTCTGGGTTGAAAATTAATTTTGATAAAAGTGAGGTTATTGTTATAGGAGGGGATAATGAGACTGATGCAGTCTATACTGAGATGTTTGGGTGCCAGGTGGGCTCCTTACCTATGAAATACCTGGGTACACCGATCTCTTACTCTACTCTGAAGAATATTGAGTTGGATTTCCTGGATGCTAAGATGATTAAAAAACTAGATGCCTGGATAGCATATGTAGCTTCATCTGGGGCTAGACTCACCTTGTTGGGTTCAAGCTTGGATGGGATCCCTTCATATCTTATGTCCATGTTCTTGTTCAACAAGACTTTTATTGAGAAATTGGACAAACATCGGAGAAGATTTTTCTGGAAGACAAAAAACAAGAAGCGTGCTTACCATATGGTTAAATGGACTAGGGTTTGCCGTTCCAAAAGAATAGGTGAGCTGGGGATCAAGGATCTCCATAAGCAGAACATTAGTCGTTTGACTAAATGGTGGTGGAAGCTTGAAACTAGCGATGGGCTGTGGCATCGAATTATTCGTGCCAGATATTTCAAAAACAAATACTGTAGCTAATATTCGTAGTCGTTTTTCGGACTCCCCCTGTTGGAAAGCGATTATGAAAGTCAAGGAGACATATATGGCAGGGAGAGCTGTCAAGATTAATAATGGAAACTTGGCTAGGGTTTGGCATGATCCATGGTTAGATGTTGCCCCCTGGCGTGAAAAATTTTCTCTCCTGCTCAGCATTTGTCAAGATCAGGATGGTACTATTGCCGATTTTGCGGCTAAAGAATACAAGATGGGGTTCAGACGCAGGCTGTTTGGGGAGGTTAATGATCAGTGGGAGTGGGTGGTATCTAAGGCAAAAAAAAATTTTTGCTTTAAACACTAACCCTGACACTGTGTTTTGGAATCTCAATAAGAAAAAAAGATTTACTACTAAATCTGTATATGAATGGTTGGAGAGGGATTTAGCTGGTCCTAACTTTAAGTGGATCTGGAAAGCTAGTATCCCATTGAAAATCAAAATATTTCTGTGGCAGCTATTTCAAAATGCTGTGCTTACTTGGGATAATTTATGGAAGAGGAATTGGCCAGGGAATCCTGTTTGCTCCTTTTGCACTCACATG